TTGAGGAATGAAGTCGTCCATCGCCTCTGTCAAGGCTTCCCTGATGCCAACAAACTCAACTTGGCTCAACTGTATGTTCGTATTTGGAATATCTGCTCCTGTAAGAAGAACAGTATGGCCGGGAAGGGACGAAAGGATGGCCTCTATCCTCTTTGTTGGCGTCTTGGAATCAAGTGGAAGATAGGCCAAGTTTGCTTTCAAAATGCCCAGGAACGCAATGATTGCCTCGCAGCTTCGATTCGCGAGCACGCCTACGAGGGTGTCCGGATCGAGCGCTCGCTTAGACAACCACCAAGCAAGAGTATCAGATGCTTCGTCTAATTGAGCGTACGTCATCTTTACCGTTGCATCTTGGACGGAAACCCTTGATGGGCAAATAGAAGCCTGCTGGCGGAACAGGTCTACAATACTAGAGTCACGAGGATAATCCGTCTCTTCAACCTGGATGAGCCCCATCTCGTCCAGCTTGCGGAAGTGAGCGTCACTTAGCAATGACAATGAAGCCACTACTGTCTCAGGCTCCTTAAGACATGTTTCCAAGACAACATGGAAGATCGATAGCATATTTTCAATAGTTTCCGGAGCATACAAGTCTGTAGAGAATTGCATATTACCCTGCAAGCCATCTGCCTGCTGGTAGAAATGGAATTCCATATCAAACCTTGAATTTGCTGGCATAGGCACGATCTCTGTCTCCAAGCCCTCGAGCTTCAGTTGTCCGAAATCCTGCTGAGAGTGTACAGCAAACACAATCTGGAAAAATGGGTGGCGAGACAGATCTCGATCATTCTTCAGCTTCGATACGATGCTCTCAAATGGAACATCTGCATTCGCATGCGACGCAACCACAACATTATGGACTTGGTCAACAAGGCTTTTAAAAGTTCCCTCGCCAACAGATGTTCGAAGACATTGTAGGTTGACAAAGAAGCCGATCATGTCCTTAACCTCCCACCTTTCCCGATTGGCGTTTGGCGTGCCGATGGTTGCATCACCTTGGCCGGTGAGGCGAAAATGTGCGGCTCGGAAGGCAGCGAGCAGAACTACAAAGTACGTCATGCCATGCAATTTGCAAAAACACTGTAGATTGTCATATAGAGAACCGCGAATCTGAATGGATTGTACGCCAGCCTGTCCTGATAAGGCGGCGGGCCGGGGCTTGTCACAAGGCAGTTCCGCAGGTCGGTTTCCCTGGAGCTGCCGAACCCAATAGTCAAGCTGTTTCTGATGATTTTCGACCTGAGCCTGCTCTCTCTGCCAGAGCGAGAAGTCACGGTACTGAATTAGCAGCGGCTGTACTTGAGCCAGCGGGTCCCGGCCCTGTGTCGCGGCGGAGTAGAAAGCAGCCAACTCGCGGGTTACCACATCCATGGACCAGCCATCCGAGATAATATGGTGCATGACAACAGATAGCACATGTTCATCTTCACCTATACGGTAGATAGCCACCCGCCAGCCAGGCTCTAACCGCAGGTCGAAAGGAGTCGCTTGGTCCCGTTGAAGAGCATCTGTAAGACGCTGCTTGTCGCCCGCCAGCATTTCGATAACGCTAATGTCTTTACTGCAAAATGGCTCGACGAATTGCAAACCAACACCATTGATAGTATCAAAAGTCGTTCGCAGCGTCTCATGGCGGCTCTCGACTGCAAGCAGGGCAGATTTGAGCGCTTCCAACTGCAATGAACCCTTCGTGCGCACCATTAATGGCATCGAGTACCAGTTCAATCCCGGGTACAACTCCTCTAAGAACCACAAACGTCCTTGGGCAAAGGATTGTAGAGCGGGCCCAGTGTGATGCACACGAGGGATTGTAGTGAGAGAATCTGTAACTGATGTGGTGGTGACGACAGTGGTAAGCTGACAGAGCTTGGGGTTGCGAAAGACATCTGCTACAGTCAATTGCATTCCTAACCTGCGGGCTTCAGCCACCAGCTTCATGGCCGAGATAGAGTCGCCGCCTAGGCGGAAGAAGCCGTCATCCAGCCCAATAGTATCCGTATCGATGCCGAGTACCTGAGCCCACAGCTGCTGCAGCACCTGCTCTATCGCTGTTGTTGGCTGCCTCTTAGGTCCCTGGCTCTGCGTGCGCATCTCGGCGAGTAATTCCTGCGTTGACAAGGACGCCCCCATTTCGCGTATCTTTTTACGGTCAATCTTTCTGGACCATGTTAATGGTAGCTGGGATACTCTAATGAACACTGACGGGACCATATATTGCGGAAGAAACTGATCCAACTTCTCTTGAACTTGCTGCACAACCTTCTGTGTCTTTGTCGTGTACTTTGTATTTTTATCGTCGTTCTCCTTCATCTCGTTATCCAGGTCATCATCAAAAACGACAAAACAAGCAAGCAGATCATCTTCGCAATCACGAGGTTTAATCAGCTCCGCTACAGCTTGTTTCACGCCGCACTTTGCCTGCCTGACTTGATGCTCTACCTCCCCTAGTTCGATCCGCTGGCCACGAAGTTTCACCTGGTTGTCTTTTCGTCCTATTAGCTCGACCGACCCGTCCTTTTTGTATCTCGCCAAATCTCCAGTTTTGTAGAGGCGTTTTGAGCGGTTATTCTGCCCGAAAGAAGCTCTCCATGCTGGTGCCTCTATGAAGGATGCGGCCGTCTTTTCTGGTTCATCAATGTACTCCCGGCCTAGTGCGGGACCCTCGATGAGAATTTCACCAACAGTTCCTATTGGAAGGAGTCGCTCATGATTATTCGGATCCACGATCCAGAATACGCCTGTATAAGCCCGGCCTATATCTTTATTCGAGGAGGCGCTAGTGATTGTTGTGGATGTGACAGCACCCGCTCCCTCACTGCTCCCGTACGATTGGCGCAGATGTACCCGCGCTTCCCACTGCTCAATCTGAGAGCGACTCATGGGATCTCCACCTACACATACTACCTCTAGCGATGGAACTGAATCGGGAGTTATAAGATCTAGCACTGTCGAAGTGATGCACACCCAGTTCACTCTCATCCTAGACATAGCCGAGCCTAGGTTTGTTCGTCGGTCCTCTTCTGACAAGATACAGATGCAGCCACCATGAATGAAGGTGTTCAGCATCTCTACCAAAGCTACAGCGAAGGAGTAGGAAGCGAATTGCAGCGTTCGAGTGTTTGCGTGAATTCCTAAGATATGGCCGTGACTAACCAAAGAAGAGCAGGCTGCTTGATGCTCAACTCTGCAACCTTTCGGTTCACCTGTGCTTCCTGATGTGAAAATGACATAGGCAGTATTTCCAGGCCCCACAGTGGTAGGAAGCGAAGCGTGAGAACTGGTTCGACAAACTGAATCGCGATTGACAATGACGAGAGTGCTGACCAAATTCTCGATAACCGGCGCACTCGCCTGAGATGACAGGGCTATCGAACCTGATACCTTCCCGCACATCAGTTTTAGGCGCTCCCGGGGCAAAGATGGATCGAGAAGCAAAAACGCCCCACCAGCTTTGAGTACAGCAAGCATTGCTACCACTGTCCACATTGACTTTTCAAAGCAGAGGGGCACAATAACTTCTGGCCCAACTCCCAGGTCAACTAGATGGCTAGCTAGTCGAGAGGATAACGTGTCTAACTCGCCGTACGTCATCTCGCCATCCCACGCACAGATTGCAGGCGCGGTAGGCCGTGCCTTTGCCTGTTCCGTAAACAAGTCGTGGATGCACCGTTCCGTTGTGGGAGGTATGTCGCGATTCCACTCGCACAATTGTTGTCTGTCCTTAGGTGAAATAGCATCGATACTAGTGAGCTTTGCATCTTGATCTGCGCTAGTCAATTGCGACATAGTGAAGCTGAGCTGTTGCAGCATCCTGTCCACACTCCATTGATCCAACACTCTTGGGTCGAAGCTGGCTGTGATCCTAATCCCTTCTGTGTCGTCAAGTAAGCACTGAATCACCAGCGCGAGTTTCATAAACTCCTGCAGCTTGGATTGACTGGGCCACTCCCAAGAAGTTTCTTTGCCTCCTGTTCCAGAAGCAGACTGTAATATGAGCAGAGTTTGAAAGTGACAGGCATGCTGGGCGTCCGCTGATACTTTGGCAATTTGCTCAAGTCCCGTCTGCTTGTGTAGAATCAACTGAGCTTCTTGTTGCTGCAAGTTGTGCAGAAAGCAAGATACAGTAGCATCATCTCGTATACAGACTCGTACCGGGGCCATAGTAATATTGGATCCAACCGCAGCCTTAACGCCATTGATGTCCGCCTTCCGTCCGGTTATGGCAGTACCGAATACAACATCGTCCGCGTTGGTATAGTAGCTAGCGACAATGGCCCAGGCACCATAGACGATAGTGGAAATTGTTACGTCGGATGGCTGTGTCACCAGTGGGAAGCATTGATACGTCGTTGTCGCTTCCGGGACTGGCTGCTGAACAGCTGGTGGCAAGGTAGGGAACGACATAGCCTGGCAACCAGCTAGAGCGCTTTTCCAGTAAACTGAAGCTGCTTCCCGATCCTCCTGCATCGTCTTCGTGATGCGTTCATCTCCATCTAGTGATGTACTCTCAAAACTATGCATATCGTTGATTCAAATTTCTTTTTTGTTCAGGATTGTTTGCTGTTGATCTTCAACCTCAAGGGCAGTTTCAGTTTTAAATACTGCCTAAACCCTGAACTGCCAAGCTACAACAATATCTGATTATGTGATACTTAGAACGCCCTCTTTTTTGAGCACACTACAAAGCCTGTAGCCGCTTCTATACAGAAATACCCCGAACCCACCTTCTGGACTATCCGCGGTGAGAGTAAGACCGATTCAGGCCGAAGAAGTTCCGCTACGCTTATGTTCGATATATTGACCCGACGATTAAAAGGGCCGTGTTTCGGTACCCCGTTATCAGATATTTCTATCTTGTGTAATCTCCGTCAGCCCAACAAGCTAGAAAACGAGCCAAAACACAAGCTCGAAAACTAGCTACACTAGCTAGAGAGAAGAGTAAAAAATGTCTATTCTCTGCAGGCGCGCCTTATGTCATATACAAAATCAGTATTTAACATCTAGCTAGCGATACTAAAGGGGGGCGAGCTTGGACAATAAACAGAGATTAAATAGAGCTCAAGCTGCGTCCCCTTCAGCACCGGCAGATTCCAGGTCTCTAAGAGGGAGGTGCAGAGAGTTAGAAATCGCCGGGTAGCTGCTAGGACCATGGGCCGAGTGGGTAGTGAGCACGCGGCCGTTCTAATTAGTTGCCGATAGAATCCGGGTGTGGGCCTGGGCACTTGTAGTTGCGTGCCCGGCCCGACAATGTCCAAATCATTACATAAACTCTATAATCTCTAGTAAAAGCTATAAGAGATTAATATGCAGCTATAACCGTAGCTTAAGTTGCTTCCTAGCTGCTGCCCCACAGTCAACAATTTAGTTCTTAGCGTGTGCTTACGACATGCATATATTCCCTACCTACATACTCCTCCCAGACTATCCGCGGTGCAAGTAAGACCAAGTCAGGCCAAAGAAACCCCACTATGCCTCTTGTCCGTCCTTCTAAGAGAATATCCATGCCCACTCCGTACTCCGCCTTCTCCTTTAACTAGCTAGAGCTTATTCATTTCCTGACGGTCGCTAAGCAGTATCACCAAGGTAGTGCCACATAGTACAGTCGAGTTTACACTATGGTAGTTGGGCATGGTATTTTATGCCATTGCTGTGTTCGTGAATGTAGAGTAAAGGAAATTATCAGAGAAGGTAACGAATAAGTACTCTACATTACAATATCTAGATTAAAATCTATGAAGTAACCTAACCAGAATTAAACTAGCTTCTTAGATGCTACTCTATATTAAATACTTTAGTACCTATATCTATAGTGATAATTCAGCGGATAGATTTATAATCCAATAAGATACTCAATAGCGCGTGCGTGATTTATTATTATAGGGTAGGTTATACCTGTCTTATCTAGGCTAGAAGAAAGGCAGGGAATAGCACGGATAATATAAGTAGACTATACACGCAAGACCTTCTTTATAGCTAAGTAATATAATAATCTTTAGCTTCTTAATAGTTTTCTATAAGGCCTCGCCTACAATAATTATATTACTTCCCTTACTTAAAGTATAAGGTGTTTCGCAGATAGGCATAATATATATGAGATAAGTAGATTGAGACAAATCCTTAGAGAGATATCTAAGAGTTCTTGTAGAACTATATATTCTATCTCTGTAGCTATTACGCCTTTAGCCTAATGTTATAAGTAATAAGAAGGATTCTCTCCTTAATAAATGATAAGATAGCTAAGAGCCTAAAGACGTCTACGTTAAAAGATAAAGAATTATTATAGAGCTAGAAGTTGAGTAATATACTATCTTACTAAGGCTTACTATCTGAAATAGTAATATATAAAAAGATAGTAGAGCTATCTTAACTAGGCTAGTAAATAGGTACCCCCTACTATAGAGTTTAGTAGGGGTTAGGTTATGGTCGCATAGACCTCAGGTATAGATTAGGTTAGGTTACTAAGACTTTAGGTAGAGTTTAAGGTTAGGTCGTATATGTTACACGGGGTTTAGGTCTATACTTCTCTTGCTTGGTTCTGTAACGGCGCAGGCAAGACTACTCGGATCAGTATCGGAGGTTGTGTCACTCAGAGGCATATGGGAGTGCGTGGGACATCAAACGAGCCTTGATTTAAATAGACACCTATAGGCCTTNTACGAAAGGATATTAAANATCTACCTAATAAGCTATTATAGAGGTTAGGTTTATATAGTCGTTTTTTCTACTAGGCCGAATCGTACCCTAGTTCGGATCCTGTTCGGATGTATGTAGGAACAGGTGCTAAGCCGTTATACTACCCCCCCCCCTCTCCTAACAGCTTGTCCTAAGCTATCTAGAGCTTTTACTATAAATTGTTTACTCCTTTTAGATTATGTTATTAGGCAGTAGTCTAGGCCTAAAATAGTGTAGAGGTACTATTAATCCGCGCACGTAATATTAATCCGTTTATTTNCCTATATAGTATATTAATAAGCTGCGCTACTCTCTGCCTATAATAATAATAAAATTCTCTCCTCTCTCTTTCTCTCTCTCTCTCTCTATATATATATATATTATACTACTTCGCTACCTAGCTAGCGCGTTGCTGGAGGCGTATTACCTTATCCATCTTCGTTTACTTCGTTATTTTACGCGCGGCCTAACCAATATGAGGCGCGAATCGGGGTGCGATTCGTGCCATATTAGGCTTAGCGTTAGGGTTTCTATCCGTATCTGGCTATTTTGTACCCCCCGATTCGCAGATTCCGACCCCCCCGATTCGCGCTCAAATAGGCTTAGCGTTAGGGCTAACTTAACCCCAAGTGCATCCCAGTATGGGCTGTATAGGGCTCCCAAGGTTGTCAAAGCATATAAG